TTTTTTCAACACTTAGTAGCAGGCCATTGTTAATTTTTATTTTTAAATATAGTACTATATTTTTTTTGCTTTGCATAGTAGGTATATATTTTTTTCCAAATCCAATGACATATGATATCCTGATTTTTGTCTCAATTTTTACAAAAAAAATACAAAAAAAAATTGCTATATATATTCATTAATACTTATTAATTGTCAAATATGTGATGAAAACCATGAAAACAATCATAACATATACAGGGTGATTCAAAAAACCGGTGACAGACTTCTAGAATAAGTAATACATGAAAAATTAAGACGAAAAGTCTTAATAAACATAGGATCGCAAAGGCCTATTTAACGAGATACAGGGCGTCAAAGTTTATGTAAAATTAAAGCGTAAAAATGACAAAAAGAAGCTTATAATCTAGTTTACTTAACTCACTTGTACACATTGACATTAGTGACAGGCGATGTTTAATTTTATTTTGAATAGCACAAGCCTACTATGCGAAACTAAAATGAATGAAAATAAAATTGGATTTACAAATTTTTACAAAGGTATTTCTCTTAAAAATGGTTGCTTTAATTCAAATTTAGCAAGTGACCAATTCGATAGACAATTGAACACTTTACACGAAAATAGTGCCCGTTTGACAAAATTAGTAGTGGCGTAGAAAATATTTTGAAAAAAGGGTCACGTTGACCCCGTCTCTACGACACTGCTGCTCGTAAAATTTTGAGCAGTACATCAAACATTGGTCTTAAGGTGCTAACTACGCATAGCAAATTTGAAATAGGAATGTTTAGGCATTTTGGAATTATTGCAGACAATGTTTAATTTTACAGAAACTTTGACGCCCTGTATCTCGTTAAGGAGGCATTTGCGACCCTATGTTTATTAAAACTTTTCGTCTTAATTTTTTATGTATTATCTACACTAGAAGTCTGTCAGCGGTTTTTTGAATCACCCTGTATATTGTCATTTAATCGAATTAGCATATATCGTTGTAGAGTTGTTTTAATAGTAATGATTGTCATACATATCAAATTAAATATGTAATTACTAATGTTTTTTGTTGCTGATTGTTTTTTAGTGACACAAATAATAATTTTATAGGTGAATATATATCTGTTACGTACATCTTATTTTATTATTTTAACCTCAATAATTAGCCTCACCTACATAATCAAATATGGAACAATGCTTTTCTGACAAATCATAAGAATTGCAGATCTGATCAAAACAATTTAAAATTGGCGGCACATAATCACAACATGAGACTATTTAAAATTGGTGGTATGTATGAACCACGTCCACCTTTTCCTGATTGGAGGGCACTATGCATTTTTTAATATATGTTAATAACGAGTCCTCAGAGGAACTTATTCCTCTGAGAACGCGCCTATACCATGACCACCTCGTTCGCCGGATTTAAATGCAGATGATTTTTATTTATGGGACAACGTAAATAGAATGGTATAAGCTACGCATGTGACTACCATTGAAGAGTTGTGGCAACGTCATAGAAAAATTAATATTCAATTTTCTATGAGCAACGTATTGATGAAGCTTTCGATGCCATAAGAATTCAACATGAAATTTTTCATCATGTTCGATTCAACTTCCTAAGATTACGTGCCCATATTACGGTTCAGGGTGTGGACAATGTAAGTCATTGTTTCGCACTCGGAATTAAGATTTTTATGTTTTTTATGCATTTTATGATTCAGTTATAACCTAAAATTAAAAATAAAAATTTATTTAAAAAATACATACATTATTTAAAAAATAATTATTTCCGACTAACAAACTACGCAGAATTCGAAAAAAAAGTAGAGAAATTTTTTCTTCAAAAAGTCTAATTCATTAAAAAATAATATTTGCTTGATAATTCAAAGAATAAAAAATATTCGAAAAATTTCTGTAGTTATAAAACTATCCTTATTTATATCCGATTTTGGTGAAACTTATGATAATAATTAAAGACCCTTTATGGTATGATTATTACCTACAATTTTCATTCCATTATTTTAATTATAAAGTTATTTTAAAAGATATCCAAATAATAAGACCCCTTTGGAGGGCAATATCTCAGTAACGGTGCTCCGGAGGACCAATGTTTATAGCAACATTTTTCACTATTTTTGGCTCTACTTTCAACTTCTTAAATTTTGTACCAACTTTTCCAAACACCCTTTACACAAAAAGCTATTAACTTACGTGCCTAAATTCTTCGCAACGGCCTTTTTGGAGTTATTTAAAAAATAGAATTAGAAAAAAAAATTTTTTTGAGTAATTCTACATGCAGTTAAAAAATACGACTTTACTTAGGAATACAGTAAACTGATATTTTTAACTGCAAACTTCAGCTCTCAGTTAAATCGTGTAGAAGGTTACTTGTCCATTAAATTAAACTCACGCCGAGTATAATATAAAAATTTAATTTGCCACTAAAAAAACGTAACGTACAAAAAGAAATTGTTGAAATCAGATAACCAACTGTACTCTGCAACGGCTCGATGAGAAGAGAATTGTATCACTTGCTTATTTCACATTTATATCCGAAGAATTACCTGCCCAAGTGTTGGTCCAATCACTAGGTAGAAGACCTTACAAAAAATACCACCTGGAAACAAAAAATATGGTGATATAGGAAAAAAATTCCAAGAAAGATAGTGTTTTTTCCTGTGGCGCATAAACGGCGAAGTTAAACTAAAAAATTTATAAAAACAGTTTTGCGCTAATAGGAAAAACCTAGAGAAAAACTAACTTGAACTCCAATCGAAAAAAGTTAAATGAGAAAGTTGTAGTTATTAAAAAACTTATCAATTCGTATTTTTAAATATATCGATCGCTATATTACTTTTCGAGATATGTCGAAAGAACCGTCAAAACTCAACTATTTTTGTACTTGCTGTATCTCTTGCAAATTTAGGTTTTGAAACTTGTTACTTGCTGTAAATGTAGCCCTCGGCAAGCAAAAAAGTGCCTTATTTTAAACTAAAAAATATTAAAAAGTTTTCGAGTTAGAGGTATATCGATTTTTCGAAAAAAGGTCATCTCGAAAATCGGCTTTTCTTGCTCGACGAATAGGCGTAGAGAAACGAATCAGGGCTCATTTTTTTCCTTAAGAGTTGTACTTTCATGGTAAAAAACAGTGATAATGATTTTAATCACTTCAAGTGTCCAAAAATGACCGAAAAATGTACACATTCTTTCGCGTTTTTCTTGAATATCTTTTTCGATTTTAATTTCTCAATAATGTCTATTACAGGAATCGATTGTTGGCATTTTTGCGCGATTTAAAAAAAAAGCGTTGCTCTACGACCTTTTGGAGTCGATATGCGTCAAACCGAAGCATTCGAGCGCGGCGTGAGCTAACTGTAGCGGGCGGCGGAGTGGGGGTAACGCTACTCGGCCGCTCCGAAAAATGAATTCGCGTGTCAAAAACGCTTTTACTTTCAAAATCTTCATTATCTCACACACATTACAAACAATTGTACAAAAAAAAAAATTTATAACCACAGATTTAATTTTTGACATATGACATATATTTTTTTAATATTTTCTCTGATATTAACGGTTCCTCAGTATACACTGGTATTTATATTTTTTGTTGTAAATAATAATTATTAAAATGTTAACAATAGGTGAGAGAATTTTAGACAAAAGGAAAATTACATTTTTCAAAGGTAATTTTGAGGCCGTCGTAAATGTCATATTTTGGTTTATCTCGTCGAGCTACCCCAGATTAAGTACAAAAGGATTTTTGTACGTGATCCAGAAGTCGAGATAACGATTTTGAAAGTAACAGCGCTTTTGAACGCGCAAATTGAGTTTTCGGAGCGGCCGAGTAGCGTTACCCCCACTCCGCCGACCGCTACAGTTAGCTAGCGCCGCGCTCGAATGCTTCGGTTTGACGCACAATTAAAAATGCAGAAGTGGCTAAAATGAACCACAGTATTTTTTTATTGAAAATATAAGTCTTTAACTGCAATCTCTGTAAGAATGGATGCTGTCGCACTGCTTAAATAGCGGTCTGTGGAATTAAAAAAAAAAAGTTAAATAAATAATTAAATTAAATAATTAAAAGTTAAATCCAAAAATATATTCAAGAAAAACGCGAGCAAAAAATTTTTACATTTTTCAGTCATCTTTGGACACTTGAAATGAATAAAATCGTTATCACCCTTTTTTATCATGAAAGTACAACTCTTAAGGGGAAAAATGAGCCCTGATTCGTTTCTCTACGACTATTCATCGAGCAAGAAGAGCCGATTTTCGAAATGACCTTTTTATCGAAAAATCGATCTCGAAAATTTTTTATTTATAAGTTTAAAATAAAGGCACCCTTTTGCTTGCCGAGGGCTACATTTACAGCAAGTAACAAGTTTCAAAACCTTAATTTGCAAGAGATACAGCAAGTACAAAAAAGCCGATTTTTGACGATTTTTTCAATATATCTCGAAAAGTAATATAGTAATGGATATATTTAAAAATCGAATCGATAGGTTTTTTTAATAGCTACAACTTTCTCATTTAACTTTTTTCGATATGAGTTCAAAGTTAGTTTTTCTATTAGCGCAAAACCGTTTTTTGACTTTTATGAATTTTTTAGTTAACTTCGCCGTTTATGCGCCAAAGGAAAAAAACACTTAGAATTTTTTTTCCTATATCACCATATTTTTTGTTTCTAGGTGGTATTTATGGTAAATTTAACATTAGGCCATGACAGATTGATTGGACTATGTAGACGCCAGTGTATTTGGTCATTTTCCCCTATTATTTACTTATTAATGGATTGGGAGGATTTAATTACAACAAATACCCTTAATGCAGAAAAATATACTTAAATGTACAATGCAGCAGTTGGAAATAATTTAAATAAAAATATTTACATTGAGATACCTACTAAGCTTATTAATAATTGTAATTTTTCATTTATTCTAGGTTATACCGAAATATTACTTCATTATTTACGTACAAATTATATATTTAACAATTGAAAAGACAGATAAGTAATAAATTTATTTTATTAAGTATACTGTTTACAAAAACCTAATTTAATTAGTGACTAACATTTTTTACATATTTATAAAACTAGAAATTATCCCTAACAAGTAAAACAAAACATAATACATAGAAAAAAATTGGTCGTAATAGGTATTCAAGGCAGAGATATTTACCTACAACCACTAAAATTACTATATTTACACATATAAACCATATACCATATGAATATCTATTACGACTAAATATCATAACAATAAATGTCAGAAAAATTCCATTTGAAGTATTAACATATATATATTTTTATATTACATAATGAACTAAAACGACTAATTTTTAAAATCCTTACAACTGTACTTTAGAGATTTTAGCGGTATTTTCGCAACTCCGACCTTGAAAAAAAATTAAAAATTTTACTTAACAGAACATACCGAAACATTGAAAAGTGTTGTAAACATTATATAAACAAAATAATAAATGAGATACATTAACAATCAGTCGGTGTCGCTGCTTTCGCCCGTGTTGATAGTATCGGTTATGGTTGGTTTATCTAGTTCTGAAATGTCCGGCTCACTTACTAAAACACAAAGAAAATACATTTTCATACATTCTAACAAAATTAAAAAAAAATATATTATACAGGGTGTCGCGCTTAAATATGATACAAGCCTGTAACTTCTTTATTTTTGGTCAATTTAAAATTTTTTTATTTTGGAATGTGGGCTAAAAAAAACTATCTAACTGTGATATTGCTGTTTCTATTAATGCAATTCACGGCCAACTAGGATGTGTTTTCTTGACATCAAAACAGTTGATTGATATTAGCGATTTTTTTTCCAGGAAACAGATTATGTATTCTCATTCAGCATCCCTTAAATCGTCTTACCACCAAGTTTCATCAAATTCAATACATCTTCAGGGGAGCACTCCATAATGCCGTGAAAGTAATATAAGCACAACTTCTTTATTTTTTGGCTGATTTAAATATTTTTTTTTATGGAATGTGGGGTAAAAAACTATTTAACTGTGATACTGATGTTTTTTATTAATGCAATACACAGCCAACTAGTGCTCGTTGGAAGATGTATCGAATTTGATGAAACTTGGTGATAAGATATTTTAAGGGATGCCAAATGAGAATACATATCTGTTTTTTGGAAAAAAAAACGCTAATATCAATTAGCTGTTTTGACGTCAAAAAAAGCGTCCTAGTTGGCCGTGTATTGCTCTCATGAAAACAGCAGCATTACAGTTAGATAGAATTTTTTTCCTACATACTAAAAAAAAAAAATTTTTGAAATCGGTGAAAATACAAAGAAGCTACAGGCTTATATTACATTTAAGTGCGGCAGCCTGTATTTTAGGGCCTGGGGGGGGTGAAAATTAAAATGATCATAATTTTATAAATAACCATGGACCCATACCAATTTTTAGGTGATGATTTCTATGCTCACAAAGAATACTTTTGTGTTGATCTACAGGGTATCCCAGAATAAAGTGTACAATGGAAGACCACAGATTCGTGGACTCAAAATAGGCAGATTTAGGCTATCACCTATATCAGAAATCGCTTCGTTTGGCCGCTAGATGGCCTCAAAGTTTGTGAAAATTTTTTGAATTTTGTAAATAACCAAAATACGTATTAATCATTTTGATTATTTTTGGGGTGTAAACTTTTGCTTTCAATCTACACATTTTGGTGTCATACAGAGTGTTATTTAAAACTTACAACTCCTACAAAATTGATGTATGGTGATAATATCTGTTCATAACTTTTTCCTCTTTCGGGCAATAATGACAACTATTTTTTATTTGATAGGTAATACCATTTGGAAGTTTTTGGGACTCTTGTAGAATTTTTACTAAATGAGCGGTTTGGGTGCAAAAAAATATTTTTTAAATGTATTCATTATCTTGCCACTCATATTACAATACTTAATGTGCTAGTAGACTCTGATTTTGTAGGTTGACTGTAATTTCAGTTTGATCTTGTTTCGGATAGCATTATTATTGACCCAATAGACTGAATGGGGAATTTTATTTAGAATTTTTGCAAAACCCGAGTTGTTGGAAATATGACATTATTACTCAGAGCTAACATGTGGTTTATGCATGATGACGCTCCACCACATTTCACTGTAAATGTCCGGCAGTATCTGGACCAATGATTCCCTCGTACTAAATTTAATAACCTCAATTTTGTTACTTTTATCTAAAACATATTTTATTGTATTTTATTGTTTTTACGAATTATTTCTACAAAATTAGGCACGTTGCAAATAACTCTAATTCATCGTCTGTGTGTATCTTTATCGTAAAATGAAGTAACGTGGTATATCTTATCGTAGTAAACACTCATTAAGAACTGGCAGGTACAATGACTTAAAGATCAAACTGAAATTACAGTCAACCTACAAAATCAATGACTACTAGCACTTTGTTAAGTATTGTAATATGGGTGGCAAGATAATGTAGATATCTATAAAATATTTTTTGTACCCAAACGACTCATTTAATGAAAATTCTATGAGGCCCAAAAACTTTCAATTGGTATCACCTATCAAATAAAAAATAGTTGTCATTATTGCCCAAAAGAGGAAAAAGTTATGAACAGATATTATCACCATACATCAATTTTATAGGAGTTGTGAGTTTTAAAAAACACTCTGTATAACATCAAAATCTGTAAATTGAAAGCAAAAGTCCACACCCCAAAAATAATCAAAATCGATTAATACGTATTCGAGTTATTTACAAAATCCAAAAAATTTTCAGTAACTTTGAGGCCATCTAACGGCCAAAAGAAGCGATTTCGGATATAGGTGAATTAGCTTAAATCTGCCTATTTTGAGTCGTCCACGAATCTGTGGTCTTCCGTTGTACACGTTCTTCTGGGACACCCTGTATATGTGCAAAATGTTTCTTCTCATAACTAGTAAATACAATTGGGTGCTTTTGCAAAATTTTTTTTTTAGTACCAGTTAAAGTTGTTACGATTTCAGTTGGACCCTGTGAATCTTAAAGTACAGGACCATCTGCACTTCTCTTGAAATTTCTTCCTATGCTTTGGTCATGATCTGTCTTGTAATTTATACTCGAATAGCAAATCAGTGATTTCGGTATTGGTAGACCAGTCCGCCGATGTAGAATCGAGGTGGCGTGCTGATCGTCAAAGCAAACCTGTATTGGTTCACTAGGTTGTAAATTATTTTTTGTATGGTATTCTGTGGTTTGGTGTTGCTTTGGCTTTGGCAGTGCAGTGCAGAGTAGTGGTTGACTTGGTATGTTGTATGTTGTTGGTGTAACATGTATTATTATTTATTAATTGATATTATTATTTGTTCATATCGTGACCAGTAGAGTAATAGTTATTAAAATAAATATTATATCTAGTAATTTAGCATGGTTAAAGAGACTTTGAAATGGAGGATAACGAAACAACCTGGGAAATTACTCAAATAGACGAAGTGCTTTTTGTAGAAAGCGTTGAAACAAATTCGGAGTTTAAAAACAAAGATTTACACATACAAAATCAACGCATATTTTAAATATATAGGAATGTATAAAAAGAGAAAATACTGAACAATGTGATAAAGAAATTAGGAAACGGATTAGCGAATTAACTAAGATATCAAAAACGACAATTTATCGCGTAATTAAAGAAGGAGACGTTATTGATCACAGTTCAAAGAGGAAATTGTAAAATACAAAATTAAAAAATATTGACGATTTTACCAGAGATGTAATACGGTGCACCATTTATATGTATAAAGAAAACAAATATTTCAAATATGTTATTGGCTAATTGAACAAATAATAGATAATAATTCTACTGTCTCATAAATATAATATTAGAAACGTTAGGTACCATACTTATTTAATAAGAAATCTATCATAAGAATTTACAAATAGCAAAATTTTTCTGGACGCCTATGGATTCTGTAGAATTTATTAATAAAGTGTTCTTATGCGGTTCCAACTGAAATCGTAACAACTATAACATGAATTTTTAAAGTATTAGTGTTAAATTAAAACTTATAAGTACGAAAAAATTGTTTCTGAAAAATAATAAAAAAACAGCTAATTGTATCTTTCATTCGATTATGAAAAAAAAATTTGCACATATGAAACAACTCTTAATTTTAATAATTATTTTGCAAATTTATCAAGAAAGTTCTCATTATAGGCCTAGAAATCAATTCCTAAAAAACAATACGTGTCCTATAAAAACATGGCCATCTCAAATTTCACCAGCCGCAGCTGGGGAGACAGTATTAGCGTAGCTGATAAATCCAAATAAAATACTATTACATTTTTACTGTAGAGTTTTCTTCATTGCATCCATTACTAAGAAAATGGTAAACACAAATGTTAATGTTTTTTCAATGTTCTATGATCTCAATTTCGAAATTTCTTGTGCAGAATTGTTGAAAATACTGGGAAAGATGTACGGTAATTCAATTTTATCGAAAATTCGATCGCATAACAATCAAACGTGGTCGAGAAGTGGGTAATGATTTGCCACGTTCTGGTTGTCCTTCAATATTTTCAACTGAAGAAAACATTGATCAAAAATTAACATCATGTTCACTGGATTGTTTAACTACCACAGTGTTGTCGACACAGAATTCCTTCCGAATGGAGAAACAGTCAACAAAGAATATTATCTGGCCATTATGAGTGTTTGATAGAGAGTATCCACCGTAAAAGGCCAGATTTATGGAAAGGCAATTCTTGGATTTTGCACCACGATAATGCACCATTAGACAAAGCGTAATTGTGAATGAATTTTTGACCAAAAATTTAACGAATGTTATTAGGTAGCCACTGCTGACTTTTTTTCTCTTTTCTAAACCCAAATTCACTCTTTGTGGAACACGTTTCGAGTCAATAAAAGCCATAAAACAAAAATTGCCGAAGGAGTTGATGTCTTTACAAAAATATGTATTTAAAAAGGGTTTTGATGACTCGATTGTTCGTTGGAAAAAGTGTATAGTTTCAAATGGAGACTATTTTGATGGAGACAAAATAAATTTTGATGATTAATTGAATATATTCAGTTTTATTGACAAATTCAGAATACTTTTTTGACATAAAGTATTTATGTGGCAGTCACTGACCAATTGACGCTATATAAACATCCCCGCTGCTGCAAAAGCAAAGTCAACGCTTGTCCACAAATTCTGTTATTTGTAGGCTATCAGGATGCATCATCAATGATACTCACGTTCTTCGATTTATCTGCATTGATTATGCTGCCCCCTAATTGCCACTGGCCTAGACCCCTCTAACTATGGCAATCTCAAGAATTAAACAATTTTCTTATATATAGATTATTGATGTGTTAGTCTGCCTTTAGTTATAAGTCCATAATAGATTTGTTGTTGTCATGATAAAAAAGTGCCACAAATTCAGCAAAATGTGACATCTTTTTGATGTTTGTGTGATGTTATCCACAGTTTCCAAGCCACGGTTTATGACGAGCAGAAAATCGCATTCGGGATGGAGGAGCTCAGATCACGGAACTGTGAGCACAACATTGTACTACAATTACATGTTTATGGCACTTCCGTTTATAAATAAATGAAAGTAGAAGGGTTAGATGAACCTATCAGCAACCAAAAAACACTCCCATATTATTTGACTGCCCATCTAAGTGGTGGTGAAAATTATTATTTAAAATGTTGTGCGCACAATTCCGTGATCTGAGCTTCTCCATCCCGAATGCGATTTCCTGCACCATGGCTTGGAAACCATGGATAACATCACACAAACCTTTTTGAAAAAAAATTGTTAAATGCAAAACGTGTTAACAGTTTTGTTATTTAATATCTGAATACTAACTTTGTCACAAATAACACTTATCTGCTACGACTTACGTGGATATGTAACATAGTCGATCTCCTCATCATCATCATCCTCATTTGAATCGAAGTAGGAGTCGAACTCGGCCTCATCATTGAAATCATAGTTGTCGTCATCCTCAGGATTATATTCCTCATCGCTGTATTGATCTGCTAGGGAATCTGAGGAATCATCATCTGGCGCCAAAATTATATTAATTGGTGCCCGTTCCACATCATCGGCGAACTGATAAACAAATGAATGAATGCATAACCCTACTTTAAATTATGGTTTAAAAAATGGTTCAAAACAAAGATTAACATACCGCAACTTCTTGGGGTGGCATAATCCAGTCCTCCACTGCGTTCATTTCCCAATCACTATCATCGTATTCTGTTTCTTGATCAAAAGGGTTTCCGATGAATGTGACCCCCATGCTGTACTAATTACTACTTAATATTAAATTTTATGTATTCTTCTTCAACAGTTTTAGCAATGGTTTAGTGGATTTAACTGTCTTTACAGATTTGGTAGTCTTGTTTTCTCCCTTTTTATAGGCACTGATTCTGATTGATTTGTCGTCTATTCGTAACTTCCTCAAAGCAACCAAGGCTTCTTGAAGTTTTTCTTTAGTTTCGAAATCTATTATGCACCAGCGTCTTGACTTCTAAAGCAAATAGTAGCAAAAAAACCTCAGAAGCAAAACAAATATTTAGCATCACTCACCTGCCTGGGTAGATGTACTTGGACAATATTCTGATGCAAATCTCTTATTTGAAATTCGTCTTTTATCTTCACTGGCAATCTGATATATAACTTGTTGCAATCGGAAGGTTCAACGCTAAAAAAGATGAGTTAGGTGCGTATTATTAATTGTGCAACATAACCTATCATAAACAAAGTGACATATTTCGTCAGTTGATAAACTGCCAAAAAAAATCAGCGCTTCTACTTGATTAAAAGTTAATAATTATAGTTTGCCCTGCACTTACCCCATAATTAATTAAGCGGAAAGGAAACAAAACCTTTTTTTAGTAAACATGTGTCAACACCCAAAAATGCGAAAAGATGAAAAGATACACATACACAACAAGTATAAAACAGTAGTTAGGGATGTGATGTTCTGTGAATACAATGCAACACTAATCACCAGAGAGCGGACAATTTGTGACTTTATCCTTGAACATAGATATGTCATTCTTAACCTAGATACATTACCCATGACGCAGTGGCGTGTCGGGTATGCATCGGAAATTTACGTGATAATTCACGAAAATTCCACGGTACATACATTTTCAGGCGTTGTAAAATATATAGAAAATCAGAAATTGTATACTACATATTTATTAAATAA